AGCTGAGCACGTTTCTTCGGGACCTTCTAGTCTTAAAGTCACCTCTATGAAGGTACTGTCAAATACCCCAAAAATATGGGTATTTTCGGAATGGGGACGATATGTAGAGGCAAACAATCGATGTCCGGCGCAATTTTGGAATCTAAGATGGCAGCATTGTCAAATATCATACAATAAATGGAAAATCGATGGCTGACGCCATTTTCGGAATCCGGCATATACACGTCGTCCTCGTTCCGCAAAGTATTTCCCACTTTTTCTGAAAGTGGAAGTCGCCATATTGAATTTAAAAACGACGTTGACATCGGACAATGATATCCGGTCTCTAGAGGTCACCCTGATTCCAAAAATATCCATATTTGACATAATTTCTCACTTTCTCTGATCGGAGGCCGCCATATTGGATTTCAAGATGTCGTTGAACATCAATTTAGGGTCTCTAGTCACCTAGTTTCTGAAAATATAAATATTGAAGGGTATTTGACGGTATTTCCCACCTTTTCTGAAACCGGAAGCCGCCATATAGGATTTCAAGATGGCGTTGGACATCGATTTAGGGTCTCTAGTCACCTAGTTTCTGAAAATATAAATATTGAAGGGTATTTGACAGTATTTCCCACCTTTTCTGAAACCGGAAGCCACTATCTTGGATTTCAAAATGGCGTCGGACAACGATATCCGGTTTCTAGAAGTCATTTCGATTCCGGAAATACTCATATTAAAGAGTATTTGACAGTATTTCCCACTTTTTCTGAAATTGGAAGCCACCATTTTTGATTTCAAAATGGTGTAGAACATAGTTTTTCGGCATCTACACATCGTCTCGTTCTGAAAATATCCATATTGCAGGGTATTTGACAACTTATTTGGATAAAAAATGGCGTCAGACATTGCTTTCCGGTGTCTACACGTTCCGGAAATACCCATATAGTAGAGCCTTTAGCTGTTTTTTTTTCTGAAATCAATGACCGTAATCTTGGTTTCGAAAATGGCGTCAGACATCGATTTTCGGAATGTACATGTCCAGTCCGTTCCGAAAATACTCATATTGTAGGGTATTTTACAGTTTTTCAGAATCTGAAAGCCGCCATCTTGGATTCAAAAATGGTATCATACATCGATTTTCGGGATGTACGTGTCATCCCCGTTCCGAAAATACCCATATTGTGGGGTATTTGGCAGTTTATCTGAAAACAATGGCCGCCATCTTGGATTCCAAAATGGCGTCGTACATCGATTTTTGGCATCTTCACGTCGTCTCCGTTCCAAAAATACCCATCACTAGAAATCACTTAGATACTTCCACACACGAAGTTCAGCGCCAAGATACAGGCTACTTCGAGTCAGAGGGGAAATACCGTCAAAACAACACAATTCCTGTTATTTCAATCTTGTTATGTCTCGTATGCAAAGTGAAGTTACTAGAAAACGACTAGCGGCATAATCGTGAAACAACTAAGTCGTGCTGCAACAGTTTCTTGTCCAAATGAGTCCAAAGGCGGAACAACCAAACGTAAACAATGGCTGTAATCGCTAATTTCTGGACAATCAAAATACACCCACGCAAATTAACAATACCATTCGATAAAGGAAGTTTTCTCTATCGGATGATGGTGTTAGATTGTGTGGGTGTTTTTTGATTCTTGATAAATTTACGATTAAAGCCATTGCTTACGTTTGGTTGTTCGGTCTATTTCAATTGTTGGTCTAGAAATAAGAGTGAGGTTTGGTGCTATTCATGTTCATATTTTCTATGTCACGCTTTTACTCTCACTCTGGGCACAGACAAACAGACGAAACTCTTCATTTTGCATCTTCGTTCATGAATTTAACGATTAATTTGAATATTATCAATTCCGCGAACTACTCGCCGCAGCGCTGGCATCGGATCACTTGGACGTTTCTATACATTATATCAAACTTGTATGCAATATTGTTTGAGACTTGACGAGCAAGCTTGTTTTCCGAGAGAAGTCCGAGAGATGTCGTTACTGAGGTCCTATGTTTTGAGATACTATATATTCAAGAAAAACTTTTTCAAAGAGTTACGTCTGTTTGTCTGTGCTCTGGGTGTACTCTGAGCTTCTTGCGTCGAACAAAAAAGTCATCCGGAGTCTCGAAAAGCGCACCTCACGTCAAATCATCCTCTCGCTGAAGTTCACTCTCCCTCTCTTTCGAGGAGTTTTTGTTTACTTCTTCCACATTCCTGTCGCCACTCCCTCGAAGTAAGGGCTGGCTAAACTCGCAGGACAAGAGTAGAAATACTCCTAGGGAGAGATAGGCGGAGAAAACAAAATACAATTCGGCAGCAATGATTTGTACCTAAATTATCTTGCAACCCTTGCTTGAAGCTAGCATTTCACATGACTTTTATTTTTGATTCGATTTACGTACAAAATAATAGTTGATTGCATCGCAATATTTTGCACATTTCATGGTGCCATTAATTAACCAATCAAGATCAATTAATTAATAGAGTTAGAATATTGTTTTTGATTCCAAAAACTAGTTGAATTTGAGAAGCACACGAAACATAAAGGTGATTGAATTTCTGTTCGATTGCAATACTGTCAAATATAATCTAGTAAGAATAAGAAATCCTCGGCCAAATTCTCATTGGAATGTTCGATTGGCTCAGATTTTGGCAGTTCATTTGGCTCAAAACATTCTCTTTGCCCATCTTTTTTGTTTATTAATTTATTTGATAAGGCTCAACCGAATTAACTTAACAGAGCCGAGGATTCTTGGTCACTATACAATACATCTTAAAGCTATAGTCAAAAGGTACAACACAATAAACACTTTATCTTCCGCTATCCAAAAAGCCTCCTCCATCAGAACTGAAGCCGCTTCCAGTAGTTTCATTGTATGGCAAATTGTTGTACGCCAACGAGGGTCAGAGCGCGTCCATTGCAGCAATGGACGCAAAATGTGGTCAGCACTCACACACTCATCACGAAACCGTTGCTTTCCAAAGTCGACGACGCATCGACCGAAAGAACTGCTGATGAAGAACAATGAGGAGGACCACACAATGGTTGCTGCCGAGTAAACAGACGATCGCGTGGCACACATCGAGAGTGGCCTGCTTTTGTCGACAGCCGAGTGAACACTCAACTCTTTGCCCATCTCTCCCTCTGAGTATTTCTAGACAAGAGTGTTTTAAAAGCACCAGTGAGTTTGAGGAGTTTCAACAAGTCTGACCACAGCCAGTGAAAGCAAGTATTGCATTCATTACTGACAATATTTTAGTAATTTTAGATAAACAACATTTTTCGCTTTATTTAGTACATTGTGATGTTTACAAGTTTTACCAAGCACTTGTTTAAACATTTTTTAGGTTCTATAATTGTTTTTGTCTCTCAGAAGCTCCGTTATCGACATGAAATGTTTCACTTCTGAATGAAAGTCATCCGATGCTAACGCTAAAAATCTGGTTGCCGTTTACTCTGACGAAAAATAAATCACAAACAGTGCTGCTTGTTCGCAACATTTTCTCTTGGCGGGACTATTAATATAACATCGACTCTGGCATCGTACTGTCAGATGAGCGTTAACATTTTGTTGTTGTCTTTGTTACATAGTCATGGGGTTGACAATGCCCAAGCCTGGTTCTAAGTTCCATCAACATTCATGCTCGTTCCCGCGTTTTTTCCAATGAATACCATTTCAGGCATAACATTTGATAACGGCACAAAAGCATTTGTAAACAAACTTTCTAAGGCCCTTTACACGCGAACCAAAGTACGCCCACGCAAACCTATACCACTTTCGGAAAGGTGATAGTTGCCACATCCGATGAAGTTGTTGGTTTGCGTTGGCGTACTTTGTTTCGCGTGTAATGGGCCTTAGAATGTTTGTTTACAAATGTTTTGTGCCGTTATCAAATGTTATGCCTGATTTTATCTCACGAACTATGGAGTCGGTGGATTACAATGTGCGTTTAACAGGGTGTCATTCAGATTTGACTTTCACCTTCCACGCACTAGAATTAGGACTAGCTCTTTTACAGGATCAGGTTATATCTGTTGATATACGTGCATATAAATAAATAAATGACGGAGGTCGTTTCCCGTTTCAATGACGGATATGTATTTCCTTTTACTAAGGTGACTGTCTATGCAGAACAAATGGAGAGTCACCTCACTCGCGGTAACTATTGTCACCTTACTAGTGACAGCTAGCTAATTTTCATAAAAATATCTGATTGAGTTTAGAAAACCTTTAATTGATGATCAACAAAATGCATTTCTCAGTTTAACTTTTTCACTTTTACTTATACTATAATAATCATGATAGCCGTTAAGAATTTTCCAAAATCAGATTGTAAAACGTGGCTATTAACCACATTTCAACTTACTTTACTAGAATATCTGATCAATACATTAATAATAATTGAAATCTTCAACAGTTTCGTTTCTCAATACTGATAGAGAGAAGTTTTTTTTTAATAAGGCCTAATTATTCAATTTTTTGTCATCATATATCACATTGAATCAATCGTGGACGCTTTGCAATCAATCCTACTGTAAACTATTCAAAACATAAGAATCATTACACATCCCAGTGAACGTTTTCTGTTTGAATCGGTATCGATACTAGTTTTCAATTAAAAACGAACTGTCACAAAACAAAGCGCTTGCATTCGGGAAATCAAAAAATCAAATATTAAAAAACCGATTCAGTTTTGTTCGCAAATTTTTCGAAATTCAGATCTTTTACAGTGAAGCCAATTGTCTATCCGGATTGGGGGTATTGCTTTTAGGATGTATGTAGCTGCATGTATGCGTGCGTGCGCGAGTTCGTTTCTGGTTAGATGATGCTCGTTGGTCTTGCAAAACGATTCATTCGCGAATGAACCAATTCACACTTGAGGACATTCATTCGCGATTGAGTCTTTGCTTGGAAAACATAAAATCAGCATTTTTAGTTGCGATCGGCAGAAGGTTGAATTCCAACAATTACACTCAAATCTCAAATCTCAAACCGTGCGTACATACCTCACCCCACTGGCCAAAGTTCCACACCGGACAGCGGAAGTTACCGCAGTTGGTCTGTTCCGAGGGCTTGTTGTCCGCGGGGCAGTAGCGATCGTCCACGGTCGATTCGTTGGACTTGTAGCAGCACTGCACCTTCCGCCGCTTGAAACCGCCGTTGCACTTGGCGTTGCAAATACTCCAGGTGCCGGTGCACCACTTGTAGGGATCGGAGGACCCATTCTGGTAGGTGATGGGTGTGTTTAATGCCGAGTAGTAGTTGCTGTCCTGCCGAGCGACGATGGGCTTCGTTTCATAGGCCGAGTATGCATAGGTAGGGGAGTCTTGCTGGGATTTTCCAAGTGGAAGAAAAGGTGTGTTAATATCTTGTGCAAGTGTAGATTGATGCTTTGTCTAATGCGGGTTGAACCATAATTCGAATTAAGCGCCAACAATTTAAACATCTAAATAAAGGTATCACACATAAAGCGAAAAGATTTGTTTTGTATGAAACAGAAAAAAAGCCGATCAGAATTTTGTTCCCTACATAAACCTTTGTGTGGCGATGGCATTGAAAGCGAACAGATACGGAAAATAAATAAAATCAAATAAAACAGGACGATTGTTGGTATACCTTCTTCTCGCAGGGTGGCATGGTACAGTTGACAATAACGGCCACCGGCCGAATGCCGCACAGGGCCGCATTAACGCTAACATTGTTTAGTACACAGTGGATAGCATACCGTTGTTGTCCTTCCCCGCAGGTGACCGAACACTGGACGGTGGATAGATTTGCGTTTGTTTATGAACATCGATGGAAGAGTTGAAGAGATATTTTTTTTTCATGAAGTTGTAGGGTAGTTGTAGGTAGATTTCGGGTTGGGGTGTTTGAAAATGTGTTGCAGGAAGCGTTTGTTGTTTGGTATTTACAATTGAGAGTGTATGTGGTTGACAATGCGTTTCCCGGAATGTCGTGAGAGAGAGAGAGAGAGAAAAACAAAATAGAATAGTGTGTCAAGAAATATTGTAATGTAACAAAGAACATCAAGAGTTAATAAATCAAACAAGTTGCAATTGGAGTGAAATAATGTAGAATTTGTGTTGTGAGATCAATTTTCGATAAGGTTCTAACGATGCTGATCTTTTTACTTCGAAAAATAGAATGTTTTGAAAATTATAGGATTGCTAGAGTTAGTCCTCAGAGTGCAATCCCATGTAACAAAGCAAGATTTATCATATTTTTAAAGCGTTCTTCAAGCCTAAATCATAGTCTTCAGAACCCTCATAAAACCCAAATTGTTACTTGGGATGTGACTAACCAGGGAATAAATTTCCCAAAGTGTAAAAACGACATGCGATTTTTTTTTCATGAAAAACTCCCTCAGCAATAAAGGCACCGACAAACCGACATGAATGACCATAGCAACAACCATACAATTTCTGACCAAAGCACACTACTGACATGTGGCTCCGTGTTCGCGGGAAATATTTAGCTAAGCCATGATCCCGCATGCGAAAGTTATGAATTGGTTCGAGTCTGATCAATTCTGGAAAAAAATATTTTTATCTAGATCAAGTTTCATGTCGGTTTGTCGGTGATACAGGAGCTTCCACAATGCACAGTGATCCAAAATGGTAATTTCGCAGGGAAGATGGATTTGGTGGCTGAAATTTAAACTTTTGGAAAATGTGTCTTGTAGAAAATTGTTCCCTAAGCCCTTATTTTGGTGTCAATTAATACTGGAGTGGCTCTTATCATCTTTGAAATATAAAATTCAAATAAAGGTATGCATACTCCGGCAAAGTTGTAGCTACGTTGTAATAACAACTTTTTTTTTGTATCTCTTGAATTGACCGGTTTAGACAGGGTGTCCATCCAACCGGGAAAATCGGGAAATTCGACGAAAAACCGGCAAAAATTCGGGAAAACCCAAACCGCACCGGGATCTAAGTAACAATTTTGGTTTTATCATAGTCTTGTAGGCAATAATTTGGTCTTCAAGAATCATTTAAACCTTTATAAAATTTGCATTTACCCATTCAATTTATTTTACATCATATGCATAGTTATTAGGATGGGTCATCATGATCATTTTTTTTTAGAACAATTTTTTTTGGTTCAATTTGGGGTCCCAAACGACTGTGCAAAATTTGGGGACGATTGTTTGTAACCCGGCTTTCCGCATTGCATTTGAAATTTGTATGGAAATTAGTATGGGAAAACCTACTTTTTTGCATCTTTATTACTAGGGTCACAATTTTGCACAAACTACGCATCTAAATACGTTAAACTGCCTAAAAACTTTGTTAAAAAATGTATTGTGCTAGAATGTCACTAAAAAAAGTGATAGCTGTTCAAATGCCAAAAATTCCTTTTTCTGCCAACACTGCCGGTGTACCAATGAAAGTCAGACTCCAAATTCGTAGTTAATTATTGTATCGTTTTGGTATGTTCAGATGAATTATTCAATCACAATTTTTCAATTTGACACCCCCCCCTCACCCATAAAAATGGAGGTAAGACTTCAAACTGCAATAACTTCGGTGTTTCTGATCTTGTCAAGTTGGTATGTTCAGATGTATTCAAAAACATAAAAACATGTGCTCCATTTAAAAGGCGTAGTTAGATATGGGGGAGGGGGGGGGGGTTGTATGCTTTCCGGCTCTCCGAAGTTTCCCATATCTCGAGTTGTTCGGATGGATAATTCAAAAACATTAGCTTAATCTCATAAGAGCAGTTGTAAAGCGAGTACTACCATTCTCTTCCCTACTCTTTTGGTGCAATATACAATGTCAGATATATTCACACAAATGTCATTGGATTTTGATGATTATATTTCATTTTTATATATTTTACGATTTCTCAGGGTACTCTTTTCGATGCTGTTCTATCCCTTGAAGCAAATATTGCTGTTGAACTAGGTCTCGGGTGGATTTCTTGATAAGTCAGAAATTAGCTCCACCCCTCATTCAGCCATATCGTTGACAAGTATCAAGGAAGCAACTCGTTGTATCGCATTGTATCATAATTCCACTCGTTTTCCGGTTTTTGCATGAAGCCGATCGAAATTTCGAAAAGGAATCAGCACTGTTAGAAGTGACGTTTGGCTTGGGAGCCCAACTGAAGCTTAACCCACTTAAAGTTAGCCCAACAAGCGAAATCCGACTGTACCTGTGTCTGAGACAAAACTGGTGAAGACAGTTTTCGTTTTCTCTCAGCATTGAAAAAATAATAAAAGAGGAATCTTCCACACTATTACACTCAGAATCATTCATGTTACGCTCAGCTGTCTTCTTCTTTCGTCGTCGGTCTCTGTTCCGCAATCTAGTGCCGCCAATCACCGACGGACATCGATTGCCATCCATTGACGGCAATCGAATGTACAGGAAGGCAGCTTCCACATCTGCGTAGGATATCGCACCTATTCAACACACATACACATGGGCTGGGACCAACGGCTTTACTTCCCTTCCGAAGGAAGACGTGACCAGAGATTTTTATGCCTCAGAAAAATCCCACCGACCTCGGCTGGGATTGAACCCAGACCCATCGGGGTGTTAGGAAGCAGTCACGCTTACCACTACACCACCGGCGCTGGCCGCTCAGCTGTCTGTTAGTGCGACTCGCATAAGCTGCTGTTCGTTTCTGATGTTGTATGCGTGTGAGTGAGTAGTAAATGCAAAATGAAACGATTTTTCCCATGCTTGGATGGGGTATATTATTAACCACCCCTCTCCAACTACACATATGAGATAGAGCAATTGTTTTTGAATAATTCATCTGAACATACCAAATCGGTAAGATAAGAAACTCCGATATTATTATTTCAGTCAGTTTGGAATCTGACTGGCAGTGTTGGCAGAAAAAGGGATTTTTGGTGTTTAATTCAAACCATAAATATTTGAATAGCTATAACTTTTTTTAGATACATTCTAGCATCGTACTTCCTTTGGCAAAGTTGTTAGGCACTTCCTGGACTATATTTGTACATACTTAGTTGCACGGTTTCATACAAAATATGGTCTCTGGTGCGGTAAAGTTTGTGTTTTTTCATATAACGATGACCCGCTCTAATAGTTATGTAATACACACTTCGAAAATCCTAATTTTACACGTGACGGAATCCATCTTTGACATAAAGGATGACACGTAAACAAACGTGTCATGTAAAATTAAGTGCTCCGAGACGGAAGAGTTTGTTACTCGACGAAACGTACGTTTCATTGAGCTGAATTTCGTGTCTATCATGACTTAATTTTATGTCAAAATTGACGCTCGTATATGTCAGTCTCAGAACACCTAAATTTACATGAATTTTTCTAAGTGTGTAGTTAAATCTGTTTACAATTTTCTTCTCATGCTTTCACTGTAGTAAACTATCAAGCATCATCATATTTACAAACAATTCTATTCTATTCTTTCACTCACAGTCTGTTCGCGCACGGGACAAACGGCGATTCGTCCTTTGTTCCTACCACGATAGCTTACAGAGTAATTTATTAGAATTCCTTTTAGTTGTCAGGAAAAAAGGTTTGAATTCTGTTGCTACAGCACTAACCATGTACGCACGATTAGTCAGAATATCGTACCTTGGTTAGTCTGTAAAACATAAAGATCTGAATCCATACCTCTCACGCCAAAGTCAAAGTACTTGATTATCATAGAGATCAATCGTCTATCTCAAACCTAGGGGTAATCATCATTATCATGAGCTCAAATCTAGCCGGAATAAGTCACGAATGATCCATGAGTGTTAAAGTTACTATAATAAAAAAAGAATAAAGAACTGAACTACACGCATTTTGGATGATATTCCAAACCACCCAAGCAACATTTCCAATTTTAATGTGGTCTTCAAGTTCATTTCAAGCCTATAAGGCCTCTTCAAAACCAAGATAAAACCAAAATTGTTAGTTGGGCAATTATCAGTGATGGCATAATCAATTTACTATTTTTCCGCTCTCATGCGTTCTCAATACTACGCGTGATGTTGGAGCAAAATATCATGCTTGATATCGAGACTATTCACAACGTGTAAATCGACGCAAAAATGATTCCGTTTCAACTCGTTTTCTTAGAAAGATAGGGTATAATAATGCTCCCTCTTTTTATCTTCACCGATGGCAGGCACGAAGCGACTGCTGCCAGGCGTTACATAAGTTTCGGTTACATTCGGGTGTAAAACAAAAATCATTAAACTCAATCTCACCACCGTTTGGTGAGATTTGGAGCTGGTGAATTGTGTTAGCTTGATATTCTGAGCTGCAATATCACAGCTTGCAAAATCAACCACAGTTGTTTGCTTGTTGATATTTGTCTACGAAAATCAAGCGTGATCTTGTTTTTGGATGAGATTTGATTTTTTGATATTTTCCCAACACTGCCTGGAACTGATCATTACGCAAAATTTCATGCTAATCGGAGAAGGTTGAGTCGAAAATTCCATTATTTTTTGGCCATGCATACTGCATTCAGATCACCGAAGTCGGTAAAATTTAAAAGGGTTTTTGAACAAACTGAAAAAGTCGGTTCAATTCCTAATGATCGTTTCACATAAGAAACTAATAAAATAAAAAAAAAACATATTTTTCATCATCAAATATGAATAAATTTTCTAATTTTAGTTTTTTTCACTGACTTTTAAACTTTTTCCGAACAGTTCCGTTGTTCAAAAATGACTGATCACCAGAGGCCTGGCTTTGTGTGTGGAATTGCTCATTACATTGTGAGTAACCTAACCTTGAAGAATCGCTACTAACAACCCTTTTCCCCTTAACCGAAGCTCCAACGGCAACTTGTTTGATATGTCCCACATATTTTTATTAATAGAAAGATCCATGGTTGCAATAATCCAGCAATTATTTCTCCTTTGCTGCAACCACGCACTTTCGGCAAGCTACTGTTCTCTTTCTCTAAAACAGGTGCGAGAGGATTTCGGCTTGGAGCGGAGAGTGGTACAATTTTCCAGGAATAAACATTGCCAATTTGAAGAGAGTGAGTGAGTGAGTGAGTGTGAGAGGAGGTCGTTAAGGGATAGAAACACCGAAAGAGAATGAGGAGCTTGGCAAGGAGGAGATCGGCAGGAACATTCAAAAGCCTCCATCTTCTGATGGCGGAACAAGATAGCTACCGGTGTCAGTTCTCCTGTGACCCACTCGGGGCAGTTGTCGGTGTTGCAGCGACGGTAGGTTTCCTCTCTCGGTTGCTTGGCGCAGAAGTCGTCGCTTATCCGGAAACCTTCCGGAGACGACAGACAGCTGACGGTACGGTTCTGCCTTCCACCACCACACGTTCGCGAACACTGAGTTTTCGTTGTTGTTTTTCGTTTTTTTTTTGTTTTTATTCAAAGCAGAATACGTAAAATGGACGCACACATACACGTATAACATGGATTGATATAACAGGTGATATATAACAGGTGTACAAGCCGTTTCGATTCGGGACGTAACACAATACGGATGTATTCCCCCAACACATGCATTTGCGAGACATGTGAGATAGAGAAAGAAAGAGAGATACAAGAAGAGAGATAAAAAATGGATCATTATTAAGGCGATCATGTTCTCCCAAAGGCAGTACAAAATGAAGGGGAGTTCTGGCTGGTTGTAATTTACCGGTTCCCAATCGCTGTAGGACCAGGTTGCATCCGGGCATGGTCCGTGGCACTTCTCCAAAGTGCTCGGCTTACGAATGTTGGAACAGTAGGCCGGATCAACCGGGTTGGTCTGCTGGGTTTTGATGTACCGTTGAACACACTGGTACTGGACGTTCTTGAAGCCTTCACCACAAGAATTTGAACACTCCGAACTGGTCGCTTCCCATCTAAAGAAGGCAGAACGCATGTGTCAACACCAACGACAGATATAATCCAAGCTCAAAATACTCACTCAAATTTGCACTCCGTATTGCATGGTTCGTAGTCCTCCCTCGGCTTGGCACTGTTCCTACAGTTCGATATGGGTGTCTCTTTGCCTGTTTCGATATCGAAACATCCGGCCGTTCGGTGCCGCTTACCGGAACAACTTTGATCACATTTGCTCCAATCGGACATCTTCCACTGGTAGTTCGGAATCGTGTTCTGACTAGGATTCTGCTGCACGTGGGAAGGAATCTTGGATACCGCCACCGTTTGACGGTCGATCGGAATAGTATAGCTGTATTCGACAATGTTTTCACTGACCGGGTGCATCTTCGCATAGAAGATGACTTCGACGATCAAATCCTGCTTCACAGGTCGACCATAGTCCGATCTAATCGTTTCCACCTCTTCATCTGGCCCATTGTACTCAAGCATGACTCCGGCAAAAAGCCGCTTTTTGAATCCGGACACCACCGTCGATTTCGGTGGATTAAAAATATACTCGTAATTCTCGTCTCGCAAAGCTGAAAACCGAATTAATTCCGATCAGTATGCGTCCTAGTCTATAGACCGAACTGACACTTACCTATATAATTTCCATCATCCTTATACCCGGGCTGGATGATGACAATATTGGTAGCACCTCGCGGTATCCGGACAATCTTCTGAGGCTTCTTCTGCGAGTACGCCATTTTGGAAAACGGAAACTTTCCGCTGACTTCGCTGCATGTGTCGTTGGTGCCTCGACAGTTTCCGCACTTGTCCATCGTGGCGTCCGAGTCGAACACATAGTCGCAACCAGCTCTTCTGCACTGCCCATTGATGCACATATCGTACGACTCATGTGGATGCGTACAAGGCGTACCATCCTTCACCTTATCTCTCAAAAGAAAATAGTTGTTTGAGTCCTTAACCCGACAGTACAGCTTGCACTGGTCCTCCGCTTTGACTCCATACTTCGGAATCCACTTGACATCCTTCTCCAGACCAGGTATTTCAAAGTTGTTACCATCCAATTCGTGACATTGCTCCTCCCGGAAGTCCAAAGTTCTCTCGGGACAATCCTCCGTATTGCAAGATCTGTACTGCATTCGCATCCCTGTGCAGTATTTGCCCCCGTTCGCCGGTGGAGGCGAATCGCAGTTTCGCGTCGATATTTGCACACCCGCACCGCAGCTGCGACTGCATTCGCTGAACCTGAAAAACCCTCCAATCAGTTCCGATTCATTCAATTTAACACAAATCAACCGTCGCAATACTCACGGACTCCACTGGCCCCAGCCACCGTCCTGCGGTTGCAGTGCCTTCCGGTTCACGTAGACACACTTGCCCTTCTGGCACCACTGGTTCTCGCCGCAGCTGGTGCCATCGGCCCACGGCATGTGTTGCGTCCGACAGCCGAGCAGTTCGTCTCCGTTGTTACACCACAGTCGTTCGCAGACCGGCATGTAGGAGCAGATGCGGGACCCGTTCCCGAACACAAGTTCGCACTGTTGGTTGTTGTTGAACTTCTCGCCGGCTAGCTTCGTGTGCGTGGAGGATGGCTCGATGAGGTCCGTCTTTGGTTTGTCCAGCATACAGCTGCCGTGGTTTTGCCTGTTTGGAAGATGGATTTTGTATTAGGTTGGGTCGAATCTCAGGCGGAGAAAGATTTAATCCGGGTTTACTTCTTGATTCCGGAACCCATAATGTCAAATTACCACCCATGATGGACCTCCCTTTCTTAAATGCCTTCCAGGGACAGATTGCTATTTTTTTTTACAAAGAATGATTCTGTCCGAGTAACGGTAACCGAATATGCTCCCGCCAAGTACCACTTTATCTTCAGTTATATATTTTTATGAACTCTACAAACCATTCTGATTACGATCAACGCATAACAAATGACGAGATCGTCCTCCGGCTGTGGGAGAAAGTGACCGTCATGACTCCAGCAAGGCAGGTAGAACACATTCACCAAAAACAGTCACTCCACTCATCCAGTGTCGTGTCATGTCGTCGTCGCATCAGGCGACAAGGAAGAGACCACGACTCATCTCGCGTGCACCACGCTCTCGGATTACACGCTCCGGCAGCCGACAGACAAGCGAATTAATGCACTCCATCATGTTGCATTAATTTCACCCATGTGTAAACGGCAAAATGATTGAGGGAGCAGCTTTTATCAAAATCAATTACATCTGGTACCGGCGACGATGACGACGAAGACGGCATAGTCTTTTATGTTGCATTTGTTCGGTGATGCACACTTTCTGATGCGCTGCTGCGATTACATGCAACCGACAACCGCCGAAAGGTGTGGATGTGATTTTTGCCCCTCTTTCGCCTGCATGATGGTCGAAAACGGTTACTGACCCTTCAGGAGATGTATATGGCAATGAGGTGACGATCTCCTGGAGCGAAATTTTATGTGTATTTATAGGAAGAATGCCTGTCAAAAATCAGCGGCTTCTTTCATGCTGGAAATCCGGTCGATATAGCGGAATGCACCGTCCATCCTCACCTGTGTGCATGGTTTTGGACATAACGGGATTCGCCTTGGGTTCATTGCTTGTGAATGTGGTGTTTTATTTTTTTTTTGGGTGACGTTCATTTAATTTTGGTATTTTGGAATTTTATTGACCGTGTGATAATTATTTACATGTCTTCTGGAAGTTTTTTCAACAAACGTTGATGTCTGTATCAAAACGTATGGAGAACGTCAAGATTGTAAGTTTATGAGCAGTTCCACGCCAAATGACGAAAAACTCGACCTTCTCGGATTTGCATGAAACTTTGCTTAATTGTTTTTTATGGACAATGATTTACACCCAAAGAAACAATTCAGCAGCTACTTGGCATCCACTCTGGTTTATGATGGTTTTATAACGGAAATAAACAATCCATTTAGTTTAAATACAGCATTTCAAAGTGTAAAACATTACTGGTTAGTAATTCAGCTTATTACTGTTTTAAAGACCTTTTATAATCTGTTGAGAAACTTGTTTAAAAAATAAATTTGAAGCAGCTCTTAATACCTCCATAAAACTGTTATGTAAATCAATCATAAACTTCATTAGCTATTGTTTATTAATGCCTTTATAAAATACTCTATAAAGTTGTTCTGTCATTATAAAAGCAACTATAAAACAATTCAGTTTTAAATGAGAGCAAAAAGCATATATTGTTGTTGTTTAGACTTGTTAAAGTGTACCATAAAATCCCCTATTACTATGTTTCCAAATTGAACTCAAAAGTTGGATCCTCATAGTGAATAAAAACAATATTTATGACAAGGAAATCTCGAAGAGTAGACGAAGTAGGATGACAAATTCAAGCGATGTTAACGACCGAAGGGAAGTCAATTTCAGCAACGACTGAGCATCTGGTTCATCTTGCATCACGTTCTGACCGGTGTTGACCGTCTCCTTTATGAAGCAGTCTAAAACCAGACCAGCCTTCTCCAGATCGGACGAACGAAATAATTTGCATTTGTACTTACAGCAAACCGCTGGTTTCCGATTCATAGCAGTAATTTTATTCAGCGAAAGGTTCAAAATTTCATGCAAACGTACTTAATCTCAACGGCATCGTTTGATGGTGCACTTCGGGAATCATCCGGAAAAGGGAATATTTTACGGGAACGTTTGAGCTTCCAGTTGTTGCGATATATGCGAAATGTTGCAAAACAGTTCCGCACACTTTCTTAGTAACTGATTCCCTCTGAAAATCCCCTGGAAGAACGCTGGAGTAAAACCTCGTTGCAATGATCGAACAACGCAACTATCGAAAGATAAACAAACTTTGACGTTTAACTCTTTGCAGGCAACTTTTCCTCCATAAATGCAGCCATAAATATGAACGGGATAGGATCACGCAAAATGGCTTTAGATAAATACAATTCAGTCAGGAAGTTTTCTTCATAAAAGCTATTTTAAAACCTTATGAATTTGTGAGGGATTTCATTAAAGCAAACCAACTTTTTCACAAATGGCCCATGCGAAGCCACCGCCATGTTACAATTAATTAGTTTGATTTTTACAAACTTCGTTTTCAATGTGTATTTCCATGGATATAACTTTATTTTGGTCAATTTAGAAATGAGCAGATATTTGAAATACGATAATCATAAAACATATCTCGGCTGAGCTTAATGATCAATCTGAATAATAATTAATTTTTCTTCTCGATTAAAAATAATAAGTCAGATCAACGTTTTCCGACGGCGGACTTATTTTTTTCGATGTTTTCAAGTACATTTCACATAGGATTTAATATGGCACCTACAACTTGGCCACTTTATGAGAACAATTTTAATAATTTTGGAATTTGAATAGGCTTTTTATATGATCAGTTTATATTTCAATTATATTGTTAAGATCGGTTGGTATTTTTGAATCCTTTTCTATCTTGATTGATGATTTTTCTTGTGGATTAAACAAGCGACTAGAGAAAATGGCTTTAAAAAGGTTTTTATTTTTGCCAAATAGGTTTTATTGTAGCTTAAATAAGGGTTTCAAATGGTTCTCAATACGTTCGTCATACAACCTTTTGGCAGTAATTCAATCTCGAAGAGCTAGGAAAATTTACCCTTCAGAACCTTCTCCAGGATGGGCCAACTAGACAGATTCTAGTCTTAATGAGGTTTTGGTCGCTTCATCAATGGCAAAGTAGCCTTGACCAGGGTTTTATGAATGTTGTTTTATAGTAGCTTTGTATTACTTTATAAAACTTAAAATTTTACTAGGGCATTCTAGCTAAAATTCGCCCATTTTGGTTCTTGTAAAATTTACAATACTTATTGGAAAGATCGATAATCCAGTATCTAAAAAAGATTACCGTCTTTTAAGTATACTTTACACTGTTTAAAAAAAATGAATTTATTCTATCTAAACAGCTAAACGAATATCTGATCATTGTAACTAGAAGCCCATTGTATGAATATTTACGCTCAATGTTCTCAAAACAAAAGAAGCGCTCCTAGAGAATCCCCCTTTTCTACGTTTATCTGTTGGACGAAGAAAATCTAATGGCGTTTCAATGCGTTAGGGCGGAATTGAAACTCGTAGGACGAATTTAGAATCAAGAAGCAGTATTAGATTTTGAACAATATCTCAACAATTTGTAACTCTTTATCGAATCCAACGGTACGTATGGAAAGGTGAATACATTTAGAAGTAATTTTTGTCAGAAATATTAATTTTTTTGTTCAAACCCGTTCAAAAAAGAGAGATGCGCTGGTTGTGCTTAGTAGGACGGAAATCAGATCAAAAACCGTACATGTACATAAATTCTGAAAATAGCAAGCGGTGAGGTTCTAGCAATAACATTTCTGATCAGAAATGGTTTAATTTACACAAAATTTTTGGTTTAGAACGAAATAGCACAGTTCATATAAGTGTTATTTTTTTTAATGTGTTTATTTTTTCCAGGCTCATTTGCCGTAGCTTTGCGGAGCCGATATTCATCGTTTGGGTTACAAAATTACTTAAAACTAACGTTAGTAAAGCGGGGGCCAATTACTCGCGGCTATCTCGAGGTTAGGGGTAACAAATTGTAACAAACGGGTGGCAGGGTAGGGATATAGAGCACAAGGTTTTTTAGAGCAATGTGCTCTTGATCTAGAACTAAGCGACATACTGGAGAAAAAGACAAACATGGGGGTACACCGATGGAGACCTAGCAACTTGAGAGAACACAAGATGACACTAACTACTAAATCCTCAGATCGATCCGTTTTAAAAACACATAAATTAAATTAAAATATTCGAGATCTCGGCTCGCCAAGATGTCTCTAACGGGCCGCAAAGGTTGTTTTCCTCGGGCCCTGAGGGATGCGGATAACTCGGATCTAGCAACACAATGTAGGGTGCATGACCAAAGCACGTGGTCGATAGCGTGATAGCCACTACCACAAGCGCACAAATTGCTGCCTGCGAGCCCGATTTGGAAGAAATGCGAGTCTAACGAGTAGTGATTAGACATGAGCCTTGACATGACACGTATAAAATATAAGTGTTATTTGATAATATCCGTTTTGCTCGAATGTTGTTCTATCTGCGTCTTGAAATACTCATTGGTTTCTTCCCTTGGAGTGCAGACGACAACAATGAAGAAATTCTGACTCTTCTAGAAAGTCAAAACGATGGGTTGGCTGTTGGTGCATGGAGGATACTGCAGCGCAACGTAAAAAACAAACATGTAGAACTAGTTTTCACTGTCGATGGAGGATCCTTGAACTGCTTAAAAAACAGTAAATTCATCCTTGATTTCATGTTTGGAAATGCCAACATAAGGAAAAAGTTTCAAAAAAGAAATCTTCACGATGGTAATGAAAGACCAGGGCAAAGGGATGATGGTGACTCTCAAAAGATCCACGTAGGCACTGACGGTGATGACCGTAGATCAAAATAACGAAATTCCAGGGGCAAGTGGTGTTGAGAGCAAAATAAACCGTAATTCTCCTGGCCACACAACAAATACAGTCGGAAAAGAAAAAATACACCACAAGAATTGAAACCAGGATACAGACTTATAAGGATCCAAGCAGAAAGTGATCCAAATAAGGGGAACCGCAAAAACAATGTTGGGTAAGAGCTAAATACCCATGCAAGCGG